AATTAACATGCTTCATTGGTAATATTCCTTGTCTATTGTATTTAGAATTTGCTAAATTTTATATTGTGAAAGCATGATGTTCTCTTGGGATTCTTGAAAAATTATGCTATGTGATGTGAGCTTAAATTTGGTGTATGATGATGGATAATGGCATGACACTGAATAGCATGATGCATTCATGCATAACATTGGGTAAGGAAAATGGGAAAATTGTTTTGAAATGGAAAGAAAGGGGTTTTGGGATAAAGTTCTGATTAAAAATAGTTTTGTGAAAATCTGGTCGCCGCGGAATCATTAAAGGGCCGTGGTGTTAATATAGCTTAGAGGGAATTAGGGAGAGTACCCTAGCGTGGTTGAGCTATTTGGGCCCCAAATGACGCTGCGGGGGTACCAAGGGTCAGGGACAGTAGCCAATCCTTCTCTTATATCGTTGCGGAGTCACCAACGGACGGGCTATATTAACAGTTTGAAAAGTGATGGATGGTTTTGAAAATGGGGAGCGACATTACATGTCATTGCATTCCATTGCACTGCATGGCTCGTTATGACTTGGATTGTTTGTTGTTGATATTATGGTTAAATTTTCTTCCAAGAGTTGTATGATCCCGTCCTCTAATTTGCTATTCTTTGGTTTGGATTCACGGGGTCACAAGAGGTGTGTCTTAGGCACCTCCTACTGAGCTTTATGCTCACCCCTTTATTATTAACATTTTTCAGGTCTTGGCAAAGTAATGGCGGACGATAATCCACCACCGGTGTAGTTGGGTTGAAGGACTTGGACTCCTTAGTGCTTAATGCTTATTTCACTCCTTTTTGTTGTAAATGTATTAGGGTCATTTTATATATATCACATGGTTGAAAATGGTCTTGAGACCATTCATTTGTATTTTGTAGTCTCATTTATGATTTCAATACCCATGTAAGGCCTTAAGGCCATATTTTTAATGTATAACGGTTTTGCTTAATTTTAATAATATATCAGACTCGTGTATGGTCTTATTCAATCTTAAAACCACTTGATAATGTTAGTTCCATTATTAAATGAAGATTTGGGACATGTTTGAGCTTTGAGTTAGGTCACCAAGCGACCAAGGTTGAGCCAAGGTGCAAAGGATCACAATTTTAGGTTGTTTGGGGCTATTTGGATGATCTGGGCATCTTGAACCGGTTCAGCCCCATTGAACTGATTTAAGAGGGGGTATTTGGTTTGAGAATGGGCATATTGCCCATGTTGAATCGGTTCAAGGGTCTTGAACCGGTTCAAGTCCCCTAGTGCACTATTCTTCCTTCTTTTGTTGTCTGCTTAGAACATTTGACTTCGGATGGTCATAACTTCTTCAGTCGGAACCCAAATAGGGTCATTCTTAAGCCTATTTTCAAGGATTTTAAGTTAGATTTCCAATGAGACCAACCTCATCCTCAGATTCCATTCATGTAGAGAGTTATGGTCATTTTAGTGAAACAATGTCAAAATTTCCCTTGAATCGGGAAAGGGTACTTTTGTGAAATCACATCCAATGACCATAGAACCTCTTTAAGTGTCATGAAATGATTTAGAATGATTATTTTAAACCTCTTTTGCTTATTTTAAGGATGGATTACCCTCTCACAATGTAAAATGACCATTTTACCCCTATTGTGTCCTCGGGTTTGGTGAAGGACCCGGTTAGCAATCCAGACCCCCGGTTTGGGTCATTACATAAGTAGAGAGAGAAGGGAGGGGAGAGAGAAAATAAGTGTTCCTCCCCCTTTTTGAACAAGGTCTTGCTGTGTTAAGCTTCTTCGATCTATCTGGTGAGATCATGTTGTTTGGTGCCCGAATCAACTGACGAAGCCGGTGAGTTAATGGTGGGTGCTTGGTGACGAATAGGGGTGGCAATTCGTGTTCGTGGGTCTTAATCGTGTCGTGTCTATATAAGGGTAATCTACTAAATAGGTAACCCAAACCCAACCTGTTTATTGTTAACCCGTTTAAAGATCTGTTTATCAAAATGAGACATTTAATATTAAATAAAATAATAAGTACTAAAAAACTTTATCACAATTAACCCAAATATTCAAAATAAGAAGAAAAATCATATGGATTAGTCGAGAATTTTGTTGAAATGACTTAACTGTCCATAGTAATTGGGTTTAAACAGGTAACATATTACATAAGTCATATTCACGATTATAACATGTTGAGTTAAACGGGTCATAAACGGATTATACGGGTTGAAACCCTCAACTCTAACCCGACACGGTTAAGTAAACGGGTTAATCGTGTTAACCCGTTTATGACCCAAATCCGTTTAAGGTCAATCCAAATCCGTTTATCTCGTGTCGTGTTTGAGTCGTGTTGGCGGGTCGTATCATAATTTGCCACCCCTAGTGACGAAGCTCGGCGGTGACGGACCAGATGAAGGGGAAGAAGATGAATTTTGGGTCTGCAGATATGGGTTCTCTTCATGCTTATCCATTGAACTCGAGGTTGGATTAAAAATGTTCAACTTCACTTTCATGTGGCCAAATGAAATTTTCATTATCCCCGTCCTACAATTAATGTTGGCATTAGCGGTAGCCAAGAAAGGAAGGCCAAGGATAACGGGAATTTGACTATTGGGATTTGGAACCAGTTATGTGTTAATGACAACGAAATCAACCGGGAAGAAGAACTTGTCAATTTTAATTAAGACATCCTCAATGATATCCCGGGGCTTTTTGATGGATCAGTCGACTAGTTGCAAAACCACCGACGTCGGTTTTAAATTACCTAAACCCAATTTAATATAAACCGAATATGGAAGAAAGTTCACACTCGCTCCTAAATCAAGAAGAGCTCAGTTAATCATATGATCACCAATGATGCAAGAAGTAGTGGGTGAACCGGGGTCCTTAAATTTTGGAAGGGTGTTGTGTTGCAAAATTGAGTTCACTTGCTCGGTCAAAACAACTTTCTTTGGTACTTGGCTTTTGTTCTTCCTCTTTAGGGTGCAAAGATCCTTAAAAAATATGGCATAAGCCGAAATTTGTCTAATTGCATCCAAGAGAGGAAGATTAATCTTCACTTGTCTAAACACTTCAATTATTTCATTGGCTTTGGTCTTTTGCTTTTCAAGAGAATTAAATCCTTTTAAGACATCCGGAAATGGAGCTTTTGGCTTAAATTTTTTTTTCAAAATCATTGTTCAAAACATTGTCAGCATAAGAAATTTGCAAATCATTTCTTAAATCTTTCTCAACAAAGGGGTCATGCACATGCAATAAAGGAGGAATATGATGTGAGACGAGACGGGTGTCAACTTTTGGTTGCACCGGTTCACTCTCTTCATTGTGAACACCAATTTGATTATCAACAATTTTTCCACTTCTCAAAGTGGTCACCGCATTTACATATTCAAGGGTGGGACCTTCCGAAGAGGAGTTGGTGTCCACTACAAATTGTTGCTTTGGAGGTGGATTTAACGGCATTTTCCCTTTCTCTCTAGCATTCAAGGTGCTAGCTATTTGTCCGACTTAGGTTTCTAGCTTTGCAATCGATTGAGAATGAGAATGAAGCAATTGGGTATTTGCCTCCAAAGTACCTAAAGCGGTCAACACTTTTTCCTCAAAAGCGGGACTCATAGAATTTCCTTGAGAATATGAAGATTGATTAGGAAAATGAGAATTTGAAAATTGGTTTCCATGTGATGCTTGAAATGATGATCTATACCCTTGAGAACCTTGGCATTGCATTGGGGGTGGAACATATTTCTCTTGAAAACTACCTTGGGGAGGGTTTGAGCCTTCCCATTGGCTTTTCTAAGAGAAGTTTGGATGGTTTCTCCACCTGGGATTGTAATGGGTGCCATACGGATTATTCCCTTGATTAACAAAAGTAGCATTTACTTATTCATGGTGTTCACTTTGCACATGTCCATGGGGACAATTGGAAGTAGAATGTAAAACATTAGAACAAGTCATGCATGATTCATTAGATGGATTACGAACATGATTAGGGGAGGAAGACACTTGATTCACCAAATTTTGGTTGATCAAAAATTGATTAAACCTTTGAGATAAAGACTTCACTTCGCAGTGACGAACCAAATTGATGATGGCTTCTCTTAGATACGTCGATCCTCACTAGCTAGACTAGATAAGGAAACCGAGGAAGGTGAGGAAAGGGCCAGCGGCTTGGACGACAAGTTTTTCGTCGTTGGTGACTTTAAAATAGAGAGAGAAAGAGAAGGGAGAGAGAGAGAGAGAGAGAGAGAGAGAGAGAGAGAACAACTAGTTCAGAAAAAAAAAAAAAAACTGAAGTCAGCCTATTAGTTGTTGACATGTGCCGCTAGCATTCCACACATGTATATAAAGTTAAATGTATGTTTTTGTGAAGTGGGACTGGAGTGGAGTGTTTTGGGTAAAAAAATAAAAAATGTTTGATTCAATAGATTGGATAGTGAGTTCCAGAAAAGGTGTTTGGTTAACCCTATATAGAAAACGACAAAAGGGTAGATTAGTCATTTCCTCTCCTTATTTGGCATGGTCAGTCCACAATACTTAATAGAAGGTCTGATTAAATTTTTACAAACGTGGGAGGATCTTTTTAAAGTATTGATAAACTACAAGAGGCCTAAATGAATTAAACTTTTATTATTATTAATAGAATTTAATTCATATACCTTTTAAAAGAGGTAAATAATTATTAAAAAGAGGTAAATAATTATTAGATTACATATTTTGGTTGACTAATGAATTATTTGACTTTTTAAATATATCACATCACTATAAATAAAAATTATAAATAATAGTAGGAGATGTATAAGAGAAACGGTGGATAACATGGTCAATAACTTGAATTTTTTCAAATTCATAGAAGTAGGTGGTCTAGATAGTGAATCAAATTATGCACAAGGATCGTAGCTCAATAAATATAAAAAAAAATCAAATGAGGCAGACCCATAAAACTGAACCAGCAGTGTGCCTTTTTTCTTGGGCCTGGGGATTCAAATGCTAGCTAGCACCATGTCGAAGCAATGCCCCCAACACAAACAAATTCCAATTCCATTTCCAAGGAAGGAAAAGAAAGCAAAAGCTCTTCACTTTCCCTATTCCCATGGGCGAAGATCTGTCCTTCCCTTTACCATCACAAGTACGCAGTCACACACACCTATCATTTTCCTTCTTTCCAACTATTTCTTTTTCTTTTTTAACATCCTTTTCTTTTCCCCTGTTTCCTTCAGAACGGATCAATCCAATCACCAAATTCTCCTCCTTTTTCAACATTCACAGTTACTTCCTTCAGTAATTTACACAAGATGAAACTACCTAAATCTTCATTTATGATACTCAAATTTCAGTTTTATGAAAACTTAAATATTTTGACGAGAAAAAAAAAAAAAAAAAAAAAAAATCAAATTAGGTAAAATATTTACAAACAAATCATAAACAGTTGCGCATTAAAGAATGTGATTCTCACTGTATATCGGGATCACATTTTATGTGGGGGTGATCACATAATGCATAGTCTTTCATAACTAAAAGTGACGGCACAAAATTGGAGACAATGCAATCATAACTGATTAACGGTAAATATATTAACTAACTTACGGTTTCAAATTAAAATTTGGGTTTTCAATCCAATTGTATTTTGAAACCCTAAAATCCACATTTAGATAGTTTTCAAAAACAAAAGTGACTGAAAATGGGAAAAAGATGGCTAGCGAATCAAGCCGTTAGCTATGGCACGATTCGAATCAATACAAGTAGTTTCGTACACTGGAAGTTCTTCACAATACCTATCGTTCCCAATCAACTCCAAGTGATCAAGCTCGAACAGATCGGAACTCGAATCACTACCTGCATCGTCTTCGTCTTCGTCTTCATCTTCATATTCATCATTTTCAAGATTTGTGATCACAACATGCTTATTTTGCTTTTTGTCACTCTGATAGTGATAGCTTTTTCGGTCGTTGACATGATCTGATCTCCGAAAATTTTCCAAATCTTCTCCGTCAATGCATTTGTGGCCACAAGGACGACAATCTTCGTCCACAATGACACTAACCGGATAGAATCGAACCGTTCTCTTCACGCCATTGTTGGAATCTTTTGAGTTTTTGCTTAAACATGACCTAGAAAACGAAGAAGCGGATGAACAAGTGGAGTTGACTGACTTGTGCTGCGTTGAATTCGATTTGCGATTCACATTCTGATCCTGGTAACCTTCAGTTGAGCTGGAAATGTTCTTCGTCTTCTTCGTAGTGATCGTGTTGCTAAACAGAGAGTTGAGGAAGCGAGTGAGTCGTCGGCCAGGTGAGACGGGCTGTTTCGCCGACTTCAAATTGTTGTAAATCTTTAAAGCTCTCAATTTCGACTTGACCAAACTTTCTTCATGTTTTTGCTGATTATCATGATAGTCATCAAATAGATCATAATCATAACATGAAATGTTAGTTTTGATTTGTTTGGGCCTCGGAACAGAGAAGCTAGTTTTTCTTGAATTCGATGTGTTGAAAGATTCCAAACTTGAATCTGAAGAAATAGAAGAGGAACTGAAGAACAGAGGATCGTTGTCCTGCTTTGATCTCAGTGATGACACCTTCTCGTGAACCTTCCTTTCCATCCATTTCTCGATCAGACACGCTCGCCGGAGACTCGCCATTTCTTCGTCTTCGATGCTACCAGTGTTTGCTTGAACACCACCAACACCATGAATGCTGTGTCTCTTTGTTGATTTTTCTCTGTAGAATTTTGGTTCTTCGCAATTATCGTCGTCTATGGAACGGTAAATTTCGTCGAGAAGAGTGGACGAGAATGATGGATTTCTGGGATGTTTTCTGAGTTTTTCTTCTCTCTTTGATCTCTCCCAATTATACATTTCTTCTGTATATGTGTGTGTATATATATATATATAGGAACGAAACGATTATGGGAACAAAACGATTATGTGTATCTATATAAAGGAACAAAACGATTATGGGATGGTAGAGAGAGAGAATGATGAGCAGAGAGAGAAAGAAGAGAAGGTTTTGGCTTCAGCTTCCCTCTTTTTTTTTTTTTTTTTTTCCTTCTTAGAGAGGAAGTCTAGAGAGAGAGAATAATTAGATGAAGATGAAGATGAAGATGAAGAGAAGGGAATAGGAATCAGAGTTATAAAGAGGGTGTCTGGTGTCATGCGCGCGAGAGCCTTCAATATAATATAACACGAATCCACTATTCCACTATTTACAAAATAATTCATTACATATTTATACAAGAAAGTTAATACTAATAATCATAGATGATACATACATGTATGTATTCGAATGAATTACACATCACATATCAATATATAATTAATCAGTAATACTGTATTATTAACAGATCGGGGAGAAGTTGGTGGCATGGGAATGCATCTACTGTATATACCCACTTTGCAAATCGTGATCGCTATTTTAACGTAAAAATTATAAATTATTAAAATATAAATTCATTCCATACAAATAATTGAACCTTTAATTGTGATAGAGATTAGAAAATAAGTATTGGGACTATAACACAGAGTAAGGAACATCACCAAATAACTTTTTTGGGTTGGATAACAAGCGTAAAAAAATTTGCAATTCATACTCTTCAAATATTTTGGAATCATAGTATAATTGTTAAGAAGAGCTTAAACATTTTTCATAAAAAGGATATATATAAATATATCACGACTAATTTAATTTAAAATTTATCCATGTAAAGCTTGTTTAGATGAAATCATGAAAACCTTTGTTGATAACATATATGAGATGAATAATTATTATTATATATATATACACATAGAAATATGCCTATATTTTTAATTTTTATATATCTCTGCATTAACATGATATATATAGAATTATGAAAAAAAATGACACACACACATATATATATATATATATATAGTATACATGTCTTTACGGTTTTCACACCCTAATTCATAAGAATATGTGATATCCATCCCAATGAGTATATATCATATACTAGAAATTGATGTTCGTGGGTTAAACTGCATTATTGTGTTACGAGTCTTGCATAAAATGTTGAACGCTGGTGGGTCCATATGTGTTTTTGACCTAAAGATCTGTTTATAGAAGTGCAGTTTCGTGGGTGGTAACCAATGGAACACCGCTAATTCAATCAATAATGTTGTATTTTAACTTTCTTTTATAAAGAAAAGCTGGCGACTTCGAACATAGAGAAAGTGATAATGTGAACACAAACTGAATTTAGTTGAATTATTAATTCTTAAGAATACCTTCTTGGCCAACTCATTCATTTATATTGCTTCAATCTACTCAGAAGATTGTTGGCCTTATCCGTAAAATTTCAACTATTAAAGGAGTTAAATACATATATATACTATTAAAGGAGTTAAATACATATATATATATGTATGTATTTAACTCCTTTAATAGTTGAAATTATATATATATATTATCCTAAATGAGGAATCCTTCCAATCACAAGATAAACCACGTCTCATATGCACCGGCTTCTCAACAGGTGCAGGATTAAATTGCGAACAGCCAAGTTTCTCCTTCCAACCACGACGCTACGCACAGGGACAAAATAGGTAGTTTACTGCTGTTGAACGATATTCGAGTGGGCTGGCAGAACTATATATAATGTATAGGGTTAAATGCAAAAAACCCCCCTGAACTATTGACAAAGTTGCAATTAACCCCCCTAAACTACAAAAGTTGCAACTAACCCCCTGAACTATTCAATTTTGTTTCAGATAACTCCATCCGGCAAAAATCCGGCAAGTTTTGGCCGTTAAAAATAATTTACTTATTTTAAAAGACCATACTGCCCTTATATGCATGAAAGGACTAAAATGCCCTTAATTTCCATAGACCCCATAGCATACCCAAACACGCCCTATAACTGTTCACCATCTTCAACAGCAGGCGTTCGTGGTTCAACACCGACAAGCCCATCTTCCACACCGAAAGCCGTTTAACCCAAATCACACTAAAATCCCACTGCCACCACCATTCGAAGCAATTGAACCACAATTTTAAAAAATTTAAATAATTCATAGTGAACCAGTCCAGCCACTGCCATCACCGCCGTAGCCACAAACGTTTCTCAAACAATTTCCCAATTGAATCAATTCAAATACAGTAATTCGTACTGAAACACCAAAGCTCAATCGATATATTTATATATATATAGATATACACACGAGCCGTCACTGGTAATCACCCCAAATTAATTGCACCATGAGTCGTCATTAGTGGTGGCTCCACTACCACCACCATCATCCGAAGGCAAGCTCGCTGCTGCCATCACACCGTGAAGCACCTCATTGCGGCTGAGTCCTCTCCACAACCCGTCGCCCACCGCTGCGAAAGCTCGCCGTCACCGTCTCGCCCCCATCCGAGCACTGCCGAAGTTCATCCACAACCCATCTTGCCCGCTGTTCTATCAATCACCGGCGCACAAAAGCCGTTGTCGCCAACGCCAGATCCGTCGCCGCTGTGCCATTCTCTGATTTGTGCCAGAATCGCGACTTCCCTAGTCGCTGTTCTACACCATCGAGCTCTCTACCAGCCGAAATATCCACAACCCACACCGCCGAGCTCTCTCTCACGCGCCGGCTGCCATCACCTTCACCCCTCTCTCTCTCGCTCGGCGGCTACGACGATGATCGATGCTCTGTTCCACATCCACGGTTGACGAATTGCAAAGAGATCTCCACCAGTGCTGCCGCCACTTCTTCCATTTCTGCAGTGTGTGTGGCTTCGGGTTTGGTTGTATTGAGTATATAACAAACTTGGAAGGGCAGTTTCGTCTTTTTACTTTTCAGGTGGCCTGAGTGGGCAAATTGCAACAAATTCATAGTTTAGGGGTTTTTTTTTAATTCAAGGGGGTTAGTTGCAAAACCCCCAATAGTTTAGGGGGGTTTTTTGCATTTAACCCTAATGTATATGATACGCAACAACCATGCAACGGTTTCATACAAGAAAAATAATAGAGATATTAATGACAAATAAAGTAGATTAGGATTATTCTTTTATTTTGTTTTTATTTCCTGTATCTTATATTCAGTAGTTGGAAGAGTGTGTTGTAGTTGTCCTGAGATGATTTTATAAAATAAAAAAAAAAAATAAAAAAACACAATAAGAATAATAACAATAAGAGAGTCAAGTATCTACCAACCCTGTGTAAGTGTGTGTATTTGTTGATAAATGAAAAATTGAAATCTTTGAGAAACATTAATACATACATACACAAATTATACACGTGTATGTACCACATCCCTACAAGCATGCATCTGCAGGTAAGAGTCTCCATTATCGTTGCCAAAATCATATGCTTTCCTGTTTTGGTTTGTTTCAGGTTCATCCTCCTTGGTACATACAATATGCAACCATACAGGGTGGCTTCAACTAAAATCACATTGTCCTTGATAAATGACAAGCAAGCAACATAAATGGTGTTGATCCTCTACACTCCGGCTATGATTTAACCTAATGCTAATTCAGAATTTTGATATTTGTTCCAATTGAATTTCTTAAATTTTTTTCCGGGTTAATAATAATAATAATAAAGACGTGTGAAATAGAGCAACTATAATTTTCCCTAATAAATAAATAAATAAAAAAAGTCTAATATAATCACTGGACCCTGATGTTTGTTGGACCACCTAAAAACAACCTTGAAATGTAGCTCTAAGATGGACTACTACCAATTCTGGTACACACTCCAATTAGCTGTCTCACTCCAGTGGAAGCCCACAAGCATGTAGTCATGTACGGACTGTCTTTGTCTAAGGTTGGGACTCCACGTGTGCACAACACCACCATCTCACCTCGTTCTCATCTCAATCTCATGGCCTCTAATTATTGACGGCCGTTCTCCTAATTTCTGTTCTCCGATCACCTGGGGCCTCCATGCGGGGGACCAACATCGACACGTGAATGGCTTACCCCTTCCACGTGACAATATGTCTGGATCATCATCTTTGCTTTCTTATTATGTCTAAACACGCATTATTAGTGTAACGGTATTATTTGCAAGTGAATTACTTGCCAAGACACCCTAGTAATGGGAAAATATATTGACTTGGTTAGATTATTGTGTTTGTGTGGACAAAGATACCAGGTTAGTTCAAAAGATTGATGCAGGTTTATGAGTGCTATTATCTAACTCAAATAGTGCAGATTTTACATGAAATGGAGTACGATAACATTCACTTCCAACCAGTGTTGACCATTTTACTCATATCTGTATCTTTATAATACAACCTGAATTAAGAGGAAGGTTAGATTTCCTACCTCCATCATATTTTATTCTTCAAGCTTTCTTCACTCAATTCATTCAGAATTCAGCCTCTGAACATCTACCAGCTGATAAAGATCACCTCGTCGTTGCTTCTCTAATGGAAGGTTTGTCCTGAAATTATTGAACACATGAATGAAGAATAAGTCGTTAATGGACAAAATCTCCATAGAGGAAGAGAGACAATTTTGGTACTGATGCGAACATATAAATTGGAAGGTGTGTCACCTCCTGAGCTCAATTTGTGAATAATCAATCTCCGATATGACTATCGCCTCATCATGTTCTGTGGTAGCTAATACTTCTCCAAACTGCCACATATATTTCTATCAGTAAGTACTCATCTGCATTTCATAATTTGAACTGCACTGGAAATCAATTTTCTTTTTCTTAGAGATACAGAGATTTGATTTTCCATCTGCAGAATACATCATCCTAGAGTGTAGGATTCATGCTGCCAAGGCACGGCTACTGGAAATATTCACCAAAAACATATAAGATCATAACCAGATGTATTTGCTTACAGGTCCCAAAAGTGTGGAATGGCCCCAAGCCACGTAACCAGCACCAGGATCCCGAGCAGGTGAACAAGTTGCAAAGAATAACTGTCATAAAAAGAAATGGCCCAAAATAAGCACCTAAAATAATCACCTTACAAGTACTAAAGCTGAAACCCAGAAAGATTTCAGGTCATTCATAAGAAACACAACTTCAAAAGATCATTATTTTAGTCAGTTTCAAGATAGAAGTGCATTATGCCTAAAAACTTTATGAACTTGAAACTTCCATTGACCGCTCAACTCTCTAGAAAGCAATCCATGTTGCATCCATTGAATATTGTTTTCATTAAGCAGGTGGTGTAAATGTTTTGGGAATGGCAGCCATCAACTATGTAGCTAATTGGTTTATACAAAGGTGCTTCATCCTATCGACATCTATGGTTTCAGTTAAACCATATGAAACCAAGTTCATATTAACCACTACCATCTTAATACTTTCTTGGCCATTGTCTTCCCTTTGATGTAAAGATTTATCTTCAAAAAGTTATGAAGGCAGCATACGTTTAGTTTCCGGAAGGAACAAATTTTTGGAAGGGCAACAAATGAAACATGAGGACTTTCTCCATTCAACTCAAAACATGAGCATGCATAAGACCAAATCATTAAATTCTCCAGAAATTGATCTAAATAAAAATATGATAGAAACAGCCCATTTCAGAAAGTAGATTAATAAAAACAATGATTGTCATCAAAAACTGAAAGGTGACAACACTGACCAACACAGCATCAAAACACCATTCTACTTCTAAACCGTGAGCGGATTAGCAAGAAATATTTCTCAAGCTTTCATTAGCATCAATGACAGGAACTCTAACGTTTACCACAACAAAAATATACAAAAAGAATAGGGAGTTCACAGAGATACCTGATTATCTACAGCCCTGCATATGAATAAAAGTCACGTATCAGTAAGAATGAATACAACTAGAGATTGGATAACCTAAAGAAACACAACAGAAAGATTGAAGCAAAAACATTCAGCCACTACAGATTTGCTTGTTAGTTACTCAATATCAAGTGACGTTGGTGCCAGTTTATAGGTGAACATGTATATGCACAAGCATATAGAAGATGTAATGCCTACTCCATGAGTGACTAGTGAAACTACAGTATTCTTTTTGGTTCCTTTTGTATGTTTGCATATTTTCTTTAATTTAGCTACAGTACATTATTGCTTGAGGAAGAGCTCTAAAACACTAGGGTACATATGCATGAATCAGCAAATACCAAACTTGAAGTTTATTTCAATTCAATGCAAAACAGTTGTCAACAAGATATAAACAATTTTTCAGAGAATCCCTTAGTCAAATGACTTCCACAACCTGAACATTAGCAAATCACTCAAATTTGCTTCAGATCATGTAAACCAATACGTCTCAAAATTTAATATGTCATATTCACCAAGCATCCACCAATCTATAAAAATCTGTGTTCCTGCACGAATATATATATATATATATATACACACACAATTTTTTTTAAAAAACATGTCATATTAATCAAACATCCTCCAATCTTTAATCATCTATATTCCTGCACCAATAATATTTTTCGGGCTACTTCAATTGCTTAGATGTTATGATGTAAAGAAATAATAAAAGTGTAAGGAATTGCTTAGATGTAATGCAATCCCAATCCTTAGTAGGTGACATATTGACAACAATGTAAACAGAATGTCTTATCATGATCTAGAGAAGGTAAAGTCTAACAAGGACATAAAATGACCTAATTTTGGGAGGACAATAACTTAATGGAAATGACAGAATATACCATTACCTTGCCTTCTGCAATAACTCCCAATGCAATGGTCCAGTTGTCATGTTAAATGCCCCAGGATAGCATAGCAAGTGAGCACCTGATGTCCACAAATGGTAGAGTCAACTGACCATAGACATAATTACTGTAACATGAACTTCACAATTTAACAAGTAGGGTCAATTAACTGCTAAAACCACAATGATGAAAGTAAAATAAACAAATACTGATCAACAAAATGGAACACTCTACTCAACTCAACAAGCCCTGGTCAACAAATTGCTGAATGAATGAAATAACAACCTCACAGATTGAGGAATAATATGAATTACCAAAAGAAAAGCATGAATTAGAGAACTTAGGAGTCAAACATAAAAGAGTACAAAACTGGTAAAAGTGTAAAACCTTAGAAAATCAAAAGATCTTGGTGATATCTTCTTCTTGCAGTAATGAAGAGTAGAAACACGAGTAAAGGCTTCAGAAAGTGAGAAAGAGCCATCTGGGGTCAAAGTGTAAAGATATAATTCTTAACAACAGCTGTATCCATTTGTCATGTGTTCGCCTTCCTCCTATCTTCTAAATAAATGTTAATCCTAGCTATAAATAAAAAGATATTCACATAAATGACTGCCTTTATGAATTGACAGTCTCACAACTTCCTACTTAATAAACAGTTATTGTGTTTCCGACCAGAGGCAAAAAAGAGTTTATGTCACACTAAAGATTACATAGGCGATAGTCCATGGTTAGTAGCCAATATTAAACAGGAATGCCATAAATAGGAAAAAGATATGTAACTATTTCACAAATAAAGAAGTAGCATCATATAAGAAGAAAGCACAAGTAAAAAACGAACCTCTGGCTGCATATAACATCGCAAGTTCCTGAAATCGAATGTCATAACAGATACCTATACCAATACGCCCAACCTCTGCAAAACCAAATTGATGTTATTTTCTAAAACCATGTAGAGTTTGTTGCAGAAAACAAATATGAAGCACAAACTCTCCACTTAATCAAATCATATAAGGAGAACCTGATTCTAATTATAATCATACTGCAGTTCAATGAATCTATGATTTTGATAGTTCTTGGATCCTGTTCATCTGTTTTAATACACTTTTAGCAGAAGGAAATTTTTAATCAGTGCAACTCTGAACATCCATACTAGTCTTTACGAAGATGTGAGAGCAAATGTATATCCGAAGAAAAAATATTGGTTCAAAGCTCTACATTGTAATAACTGCAGTTTTTGGACTAAACATCTCAAATGATGTCAAGTGATTATACGCTATGCTTGAAATGACACTAATAAAAAAAAATAAAAAGTTATGAGTAGCAAGTGGCAGAAGCAGCACTCAGAACACACAACAAAATTTGAAGCAAGATGAAACTGAGGCTAGTTAAAAAGCACAAAGAGACACAGAGAGTAGATATTACAAATCTATGCCAATTCTCTCTAAAAGACATTATTACCATGTATTTTACTCATAGAAAGACGATGAATAATGCAGAAGATCCATTCCAAGCCATCGTGTTAATAAGAATCAAGGTCCATAAATACCATAAGAATATCTGTAGTGCAATCTGAGATTGATAATAGCAAACACCATAACTGAAGATGGTATATAGTATGCAGTGACACAAAAATATTGATAAATGTGGAAAGCAGGTTATAGACCTGGAAAGACTTGGGGAGAATATTTCAGATGTTTAGAGCAACAGACCTGTGTCCACAATTGTAGGAGTCTCTCCTGCTGTAAGTGTCTTTGATTCTTTAAATGAAATCTTCCCTGGAATATCAATATCAAAAAGGTGTATCTGTGCCATACAATTGTTAGTTAGAAATTATGTTCATAAAACAGGCATCATAGACACAATACTTATAAAGATAAAAGTAAATAACATCTTCAAAATTGTTGATCTACATTGTCTAAGACAATTTATGTCCATTTTGAAGTTGTGCATTTGAGCCTCATGGCTCATGCACAAGGCATTGGTTCTTAAGTACAATTATTATATCTAAAGGAGGTTTATCACTTAAAAGACCTTTATCAAGTCAGATCACTCGGAATTATTTGATAAACCTAACCAATAACCAATCATATTGTTGAGATTGGATGTCAAGACTCCATAATTACTATATTCAAGTACTCACAAATGCCATTTACAAGAAGAAAAAAAAGTGCTTATAAAGCTCCAGAGATAATGCTACGCTGACATATGTGTGTGTGTCACAATCCGTTAAAGGTAAGCTTGGAAAATTACCTTCCTATGTTTAGCTTTCAGCTTTCCGTCAGTTCCAAAGACACAACAAGTATTGTACAACCTTTCCCCACAGCGTTCTGGTATAGAGCCACCAACTATTGTGACCTTCAGAAGACGAGCAACTTCAGACAGCATGGCAGTCGAAGGAGATGCATCTCCACCAGCATCAATGTCCTCAGCATAAACTGGGAAGCTATCATTTGAATATGGAGAATTCCATATTTCCTGACACGAGCACAGACAGTCAAACTTTGAAAGCATCATGTCACATATTTAGTTCGGGGAGTAGCTTATAGTGAGTCCAATTTGAATGCATCAGCTTCTTCTACATAAAAATGCTTTATCATAAGCCATACTACAACCACTGACTCTTATATACTATAGTTTTCTATTAGAAGCGGCATAGCCATAGCTTGTTTCACCTATGTGGTATAGATGTGACTGGTGACCAAATTTTCAATTCATAATGGGGTGGCATTTTAGAAATTAAAATTAATTTAGCTGAAGATTTGGATAACTTCTTCAAAAAAGTAATGCAATTTTACTGCTAACACCGGAAAAGAATTTATGGTAGGTCAAAATAAGGTGTAAACTCAGAGATTTAGAAAAAAACTATGATTTAGGTGTCTTAAATGAACAGTCGAATTAGCTTTAGAGAAGAGCAAAAGCCCCAATATATACCATCCTTTTTCTGATATCTATAACATGAATGCCCGGTTAAAGAATAAATAAATTGAAAACCTACAGGCAACAGAACAAGCTTGGCACCCTTTTCTGCAGCTTCCTCAATGGCAGTGCGAGCATGAACTATATTCCTCTCCTTGTCCGCCGTCACCGACAATTGGCACAGTGCGATCTTGAACTGAAACATTCATATTTTAGAAAACTAGTAAATGAACTTCATCAATCAGGAACTAATATATATATATAACCAGAAAGATACACATATATAGAGAAGTGATGATAATGCCTTGGTGATTTGAGGGGTGGGCAATTGGAGGGCAGGAGGAACCCTAGCTTGGTCGGGTTTGAAAGAAGAGGCCATTGACGAAGCAGAAGCGGTGGTGGTTGCTGTACGGATTAATTGTTTGGTAATATGATGATGGGTGCGGTAATTGTTTGAACGGCGGAAGATTGGTGGTGTATGGCGGAGGATGCAGCGAGATGCAGAGGATTGGAAGAAGGAATTGAGATTCCCCGAGTAAGGTAAAGATAAATGTAGGGCTGAAGAAGAAGACAGGAATGCTACTACTGTTGGTGCAGCTTTCATTTCCCTTTCCTTTGCTAGACAAGTAAAATTCTCATGTGGCAACCACTTTAAGTCAACGATTCTATTTGAAAGTAAATTATGGTAGGAATCTGAATTTTTCACCATTTTAAATAAATAAAAAAATTGGTGCTTGTAGAAAAATTTGCAATTTTAAAAAATCGTTATTAGGTTGTAGAAGATTGTGTTGATTTTGAGTTAATTAAAAGAAATTTTCATGAAGATATAAACATTGTGTGAATCAATTCTTTCTTTTTCTTTTTTTAGTTTTTTTTTTTAACTATATACATATATATATATATATATCATGTAGATTCACGTCAACATTAAAGTGAATACTTTAATGTGAGTTTTTATTGTTGTAAGTTTTAATTGAGGTAAAATTATAAAATTTAAATTTAGTGAAGTAAAATTATAAAATTAAATTTATTATGTTTTTTCGAATGCCCGTGGGGCCTTGCAGTTCTCTGTTTATATTGGGAAAGGAAAGGCCTTGTAAACATTGCTTTTGTTGCTCAACCTGAAATCCGAATTCTTTAAAATTAACAATAATAATAATAACCACTTCTCTTTGTCTTATATATTAAACTTTAAATAAAAAATTCCTAACAAAAAGTATATATAAAGGGAAAAAAAATGTTCTATAGCATAAGACAATTTAAAGATCCGTTTGACATGCATTTTGTTTTAGGCGTTTTATTTTTGACTAAAACAGAAATAGTGTTTTTGCAATAGGAGTGTTTTGAAAAAAAATTAAAAGTACGTTTAGAAATGATATTTTGTTGTGAAAATGTCATAATGTTTTAGCACTGAATATGGTTTTGATTTTGCTTTTATTTCTGTATATATGAATTTAGCTTTGTATGTCCAGGACACATGGAATAGTCCTAGTATATTCTTTTTTCTTTCATTTTTCACTCTTCAATCTTTGTCCTTGTTTCTTTTGGCCTAATCATGTTTTATTGTCATATCCTTAATTACCTCAAAAGATGGTTGTCACTTGCTCATGCATGCACTCAGACCTCTGAGGTCAACATCATTTTAGTTTAAATTAAGTACTAGACTTAGACAAAAAGCCTAATAGGAATACATGGAGCCGGCCTTCCAGACAAATATATGACATTGTAATCATCAATTGACAAAATCACACAAAATGGCGTGGACACAGAGAGCTGTATAAATAACTTCCCTTGAATTGTCCATATTTCACAAGAAAAAGCTGCATTGTTGAGGCATTTCAATGGAGTTGTATTGTTCTCTCTTCAAGAAGAAGGACATGGCCAGTGCTCAGACTCTGGTTTGTGTGAAACAAGTGAAGCAAGAGGTTCAGGATGAGTGGGATGAGACCATGCCTTTGCCGGGAGACATCATCGATGGCATTTCCGACGATGCTGACGAGTTGTTTTTGCCGGCCAAGGGCAAGTCAGAACTCAGCTCGGAACTCAGGAGGATTAGCAGACAGGCTGATTCTATATGGTTGAAAATTAGAAGGGGAGACCGCAACCTTAAGCTCCAGGTGTGCGTCGTGGCAGATCATAGTTCCAGAATACAGAGAAAGTTCACGGTGAGAGCAGCTTCAGACGATAGACACGTTGCAGTTCTAGAGGATTTGACATTGGAACAGTGCACAAAACTGCAAGGTAAATTTCTCTGCCCTTTATAAACATTGCATGAAAATGAATCCATTGATCTTAAAACTACAATGACTTTGAACTCAATTTCTGAATAAGAAAAACAGTGATGGTGCGTTGGGCTGCATGAAATTGGAGTTTTGGAATTGAAATTCGTGGAATTTGAGAAAAGTAACTAAGAAAATTGAATAATTTTCTTTTCAAATTCCAATTCCAATTCCATGCAGCCGAACACGCTCTAAATCTAAAAGGCTTGTAATGCACCACTAAACATGGTGAAACTGTGGAATTTTATGGAATGATGCAGAAATGAGTAGGAAGGTGGTGAATGCGGATTTGAGGGGATTCAACCGGAAGGGTGTGAAGTATGACTGGAAGACGAAGGTGCGTACCTACCTGCCGGATCAAGGATCAACGGTGGTTAGTTCCATTTTGTTCATGCCTCTACCAGATGAGCAAGGAATAGAGGCCACCACTGTCAGAACCATGGCCTGGTTTTCTGCAGCGGTTTCATCAGGGATCCCTCTCGTCTTTGTCAACATCCAAACAGAACAAAAATTCACCTCGGTATTGTTCTTCCTCTCCCTAAGTCTTCTATAGTCAAATGGCATTTGAGATGGTTATAAGAAAGCATATTTATACGTTGTGTGTGTGTGTGTGTGTTTTGGTCATAGAAGATACTCCAGTTATTGTCAAGTCTTCAAACATTTTCTAAAATGTTTTCTTCTCCTCAAAAGGAGAAATATAAATCCACAGGAGAAGAGATAAGTAGGTGTAGACAGAAAAATGAGACCACTTCTCTTCAGATTGTTCAAGGCATAAGACTCTGGTTTCTACCAGGAATTGGTGAAGTTTTACTTGAATTGACACCAAAACCAGGAGACTACCGATTTGGAATTGACATCAAACAAGCTGAAGAGGTATCAAATTTTACTTTTCGTGCATAATCTATAAAGGAACTTCTGAATTAACATGTCAACAAATATTTAATTCTTGTTTCTTTAAGAATTGATATTAGATTCTGTTATGAATAAGTTGCATATTGCACATACGTCGTTTGATTTCATTTTCGATTAGTCTACTCTAATTATATGTACAGGGCTTCATCTGTGTGTATTCAGTGACTAAAGGGACGTCTGCTGATCGTGCTGGGCTCGGTTACTTATATGAACAAGCAAGCAACATGGAGTACCTAGTTGTGATCTCTAGGTTAGAAGGGAAGAACCTCATGCCTTCAACTGTCAGCTCTGAAGGCCTAATACATTGTTGCGATACCAATGATATTAAGGAAACACTCACTTCAGCAATGGATCAAATGGAAAGCATCAAACTCCACATCATGTCTTGGCCCAACCAAACTCCTTTGCATGCTCTGCAAGCAATAGCTGCAGCCAACCTTAGGCCTCCAAACTGAATCGATATTCTCCACTCTCCAGACTCCATGTAATCATGATGAATTTCTATCGAAGAACAATTGGTTGCAATAAACAACTTGGAATCTGCTACATGTATAACTATCATGTAAAGAAGTGGGGAAATAAGAGCTGTGCTAAGCAACGTTGTGACTGTCACGACTGTACAAGCTCACTCCTTGGATCTTGTGGATACCATAGATTCAAGGATTGAGATTGTGCAGCCATGATTGCACTTATCATTCTCCGAGAAATAAAGCGAACAAGTTGAGTGAACTATGTAAACCAAACTATGAGTGGGTTCAAACCACACTGCAATTTCTGACATTTTGTATCAAAAAGTTAATCACAAGGCACATCAGCTACCTCTAGTGACTTACTTGAACCACCTTTCATAACATTAAGCAGATCTTTTGGTAAATTTAATCTGCTGAATAAGATTATTAACCCATGCATGTTAATGAACAAGAGAACCCTGATAGTGATAGGTTATCTGTCAGCACTATTATTTTGAAGTCATACAGATAAATCTGCACAGAAATGTTGATTGATACAGGTCCTAAAAAAAAAAAAAACCATCTATGAATTAAGACATTGAAGTTGTGGTACTGGATGTATGTACTCAGGGTACTTGAGAATGTGAAAAAAAAAAAACCATATATTCAAATGGTTTGTGGCAAATATGTTCTTGAGTTCATACAAACCTCCTGCTCGTCACATGCAGACCTGTGTGATGTTGCATTCCTTTCTATTTTGTTTTTCCTTTCTTCCCATTTCAGGTCTCTTCAAGTCTAATTTTTCAAATTATTTAAGTTTTGATGGTCTTTAATGTTTTTTACCATATAAATTAAAGTAATGATACACTATTCAAAGTGTGGAGTGAGTGAACAACACAACACTCTCCCTTAAATGCATTCAAGTAGGACAGAAACAAATTTTATAAGAAGAATTTTCGTTCTCCATATTATGCTTCTTTTTTCTTTTTCTTTTTTTTTTTTTTTTCTTTCTATATATTGTTTTTCTAATAAATTTTTTTTTTTTTTTGGTAATTAAAAAATAAATACTGTAAGTAAAAATTACTGTACTAGTACCACAACAAACACGGAGGGAGTGACTGACTTTTACATTTAAATTCAAAGAGAGCATGACTATGGCAACTTCAATGGCGGGTCGAGGCCTGCCCACCGCCAACTCTCATTTCTCTCAACCCCTCTCTCTGGTCACGTCCATATCCTCGCTTCTTCAAACCCTAGACCCACAAAGCCCTAATTCTCCCAATCCCAAGCATTCTCCACTCAACCAATTCTCTTCACACTTGAACCCTAACTTAGTCATTGATGTCATCAACAACCAAACCAACCCTCACCATGCCCTCTTCTTCTTCAAATGGGCCTCAAACCCTAACCCTAATCCCAACAAATACTCTCACCCTTTCATTTGTTACATTGCCATCACTGACCTCCTCATTTCTCATAGCTTGTTTTCCACAGCAGCTTATCTACTTGAATCGTCGAACAGACTCTCCGATTTTATGATGGGTAAGTTCATCAGAGCTCACGGCAATCGCGGCAACATACGAGGTGCTATTCACTGGTTTCATATCGCCAAAAGGAGAGAGTTTGGTTGTTGTTTGTTTTCGTATAATTCGATTTTGGGGGTCTTAGTGAGAGCGAATCGAATAAAATTAGCAAAGGCTTTCTTCGATCAGATTGTCAATGAAGGTGTGTTGGAACCGGATGTTTCCACTTGCACTACAATGATCAGAGGGTTTTGTAAAATGGGCATGATTGAGGATGCAAAGAAGGTGTTCGACGAAATGAAATGTGAACCAAATTTAATTACTTACAACACCATCATTAATGGGTTATGCAAGAGGGGTTTAATGGAGAGTGCACAGAGAACCGTCGATCGCATGAGAGAGAGCAGGGATTACTTGCCGGATACAGTGACTTATACGACTTTGATTGATGGGTATTGTAAAAGAGGTGAATTGGACGAGGCACATAAGTGTTTTGATGAGATGGTGGGTCAAAATTGCAGGCCAAATGTGTTCACATACAATGCTCTGATTTTTGGTTTGTGTTTGAACGGTAATATTGATGAGGCAAAGAGGATGATGACAAGGATGAGATTAAATGGCTTGAAGGATAATGTCGCGACACATACAAGTTTATTGAAGGGGTATTGTATTGTAGGGAGATCAGACGAGGCTGCCAAGCATCTCAAGGAAATGGTTAGTCTTGGGTTGAAACCTGATGTGAAGTCATATGGAGTTGTTGTGAATGAATATTGCAAAATGGGGAAACCAAATGAAGCAATTGCACTTTTAATGGAAATGAAGAGAAAAGGCATTAATCCAAGCGTTTCTAGTTTCAATGCAGTATTTAGGATTCTTGTGGAGTCCTTGGAGCTTGATAGGGCTATTCTTCTTTTGAAGCAGATGCCACAGATGGGTTGTCGTCCAAACTTCTTGTCATATAACACGGTGATACATAGCCTTTGTAGAGCCAAGGGAAGGATGTCAGAAGCTGAACAACTTGTCCGTGACATGCTTAGTGATGGTCATAATGTTGATGCCACGATGTATAGTTGCTTGGTTGAGGGATATAGCAAGCATGGGAATGAGGAAATGGCAGAACAAGTTTTCCACGAAATGATAAACAAGGGCTATGCCATTAATCTTGAAAGCTTTTCTGTTTTTGCCAAGGAGTTGTGTGCAAAGGGTAAGGCGTTTGAGGTTCAGAAATTCTTTGAGGAGATGTGTGGGAAATGTCCTGTAATTGATGCGGATAGTTACAGGAGGAGGTTATTGGAGTATCATTGAATAACAAATAGGTGACACACGATCAAGCTACCAGAGATCAAAGTAACCATAATGCAAGTGGATGATAAGAGAAAACACCAGTTTGGGAATGGGGGTTCAAGTTTGGCAGCTTGAATCCATTTTGGTTATTGAGATTCAGTGTCATGTTTTCTGTTATATATGGACATCCGGGAGGAGGGGTAACTGCCTGTTTTTTTTTTTTGTATGGAGTTTTGAGTGAAGAGGAAGGTGATAGAGGCTGAGAATTAATCTGCACTGCAGTGATGAGAGGTGGGTAAGGACTAGCAATGCCAGAACATCATGGCGAGTCATTAGAGCCATCAATGGCTGAATGATGTCGATCAGGGGTAGAGAACGTCTGAGGCATACTGCAACTTCATTGAGAAATCTGTTACTTCATCATGTTGAAAAGTGCATCCTTGAAGACATTTGAGCACTGCCATTCTAGCCAGTTGGTGCTTTCAGTTGAATGAATCAGTTGGCCTCTTCGGCCATAAAATCATTTTTCAAGACATTTTGATCATGTTGGTTTAAGACATTGTTCCGAAGTATCACCATACATAAATTTAGATGATTTCTAGGTTGACTTGTTAAGCGAAATTGGTAGCTAATGTATTGAAACGAAATAAAATTATAAAAAATAATTTGGGAAATTGCTGTTTTCAGGGATGAACAGCGGAGTTAGCTTGCAATGAATTATTTTTTTTTCAACATGGATGTAAGAAACTGATTCAAACTCTACCCCTTTTACTCAATCGGAGTTTAAGTTATACCTTAATCAAAGCAAGTAGAAGTGTTCAGTAAAGATATAAATGTTTAGTAAAATACATCGTTGAAAATTAAGTACACATTTGAGTTAACCCATTTAAACAAATAACCAATTTTTTTTTGCACTTTTGTTAATTTATTATTATTATTTTTTTTTAACCAAATTTAAACTCACAACGTGGGCTAGGGTTTGACACATTTTGCTCGCTTTGATCACCATGTCACGTGATCTAGTACACTCAGTTCAGCGAGAAGCCCAGACAAAACCTTTATCTTATTTTTGTCAAAAAGAGGGAAATGTTCACAAAACAAGTAGATCACGTTAGTCCACTATTCCTTATAAGCATAACATTTACTCCGTATTTATTAGTCCATTGGATTGGTAATAAAATGTGGCCCAATCGAGAGTGATTCTGAAACCATTCGTTTTAGCATTTTAGGGATTAGTGACTCCCTTCGACTAAATGGGCCCAAATCCAGATCTCATCCGGACTGTTCCCCATTTCTTCAAATCCAGTTAATTACTCAGTTTCAATCCGATTCAAATCCCCAGTCTCTCTCTCTCTCTCTCTCGCTTACTACTTTCAGTCTCTCTCCTCTTTCTCTCTCATCTTGGAGATCAAATATTTTTACAATTTTCCCTCCCTTCAACTCTTTCGGTGCTGCTTTGGTTTCTCAGGGAGGACCGTTGCTTCCATTTTCGTTCTTCGATCTATAGTCGCTTTCTCTCTTCACTCTCTTTGTTTCTCTCTCTAGAACACAATTTCAAAGTCATGGACGGAGGTCAGCCCTACAATCCTCGAACGGTTGAAGAGGTCTTTCGGGATTTTAAGGGTCGAAGAGCTGGTATGATTAAAGCCCTCACCATTGGTAAGCACATTTTTCTTTTTTTTCTTTTTTTTTTTTCCTTGTGGTTTTGTATTTGATTTCTTTTTTCTTTTTCTTTTTCTTGAAGCTATTAAATTTATTTTGTTTTGTGTTTAATGTGTGAATTCATAATGGTTGGTTGTTGCAGATGTTGAAGAATTTTATCAGCAATGCGACCCTGGTTAGTGTTTTTTCAATCTCTGTTACTGTTTTAAATTATTTGGCTCTGTTTAGTGTTTGCATTTAAGATTATTTCTTCAATAGTTGTTTTACATGAACAATTTCTTCGAGGTTGAAGATTGGAGTTCTATACATAGAAGATTTTTTTAAAAAAAAAAAAAAAAAAAGTTTTGTGCTCGTTACTTCCAACGGATTATTTTACTTTATTTTTCCGTCTTACACGCAGAAAAACACATGCATATTTATATGAATACAGACATAAATTTTTTTAATCTCACTGTCTTGTTGTAATTGTTTTAAAGTATGTGAATAGAATGGTAATGTACATGGAATTCGGTTTGAACTACGAAGGTACTGCTTTTAAATATGTTTGAGTTATTAGTAGTACATTTTTATCCTTTAGTTCTTTATATATTGATCACGTTCATAACGTTGAGAAATATGTAAAATTGAGTTTGAATGGTTTCTCAACAAGGAACAATTCTTTTGGTATTTTACAATTTCAGTGAACTGTGATCTTCTATCTAATTCATGGAAACCGTTCTTACAAATGATTTTGTTGAATTAGTTGATTTTGTTGATAGGATGTGGTTATTGTGTGACAACATAAGTCTTAAAGTTCCAAGCCCAGGTTTCCATGATCAATTCCGTTCTACTCCGCGGAGATCCTGCAAATAAAGCAAAAAGTCCTACATAGAGTCCTATGGTGATGTAACCACCAAGGGTTGTACATCAGTAATATCTCCTTGACCTCCCATAGTGGTGGTCGAGGATTCGAGTCCCTATAGGGACAAAGCAGGGGTGTGAGTTATCAACCAAGAAAAATCCTTTTGTGATGGAGCATATATTAACAAATCCTCACTGGTGAAAACTCTATGAATTAATAGAAAATTTTGTGCTTTACTTGAAGAAAATATGACCAATAGGCCAGTGGCCTAGCGGTATCAGCCTCTTACTTCCCAAAGGGAGGTTAGGGGTTCAAGTCTCAGAAGAGACATGTGTGTGTGAATACCAATTAGGAAAAAAAAAAAAAATGACTTTCTGTAATGTATATTGAAGTGTTAGATTGTTGGGAATATCCCCATGGTCTATCATGTATAAATTGGTTTGATGGACTATCTTTGGCATTGAGATTTGAGATATAAAATTACCTACAAAATTATCCTTTTGGTGCATATAGTGACAGTTTTAAATATTATATGTTGGAAGCAGAACAGAATTTAATGCATGTTTATCAGAACCGCTATTCAGATTGGTATGATCCTACAATCCAAAATTAGCAAATTGATCCCGAATTGCATGAAAATGTGCAGAGGCGTAGGATTATAATGGGATTGTCAGAGAGTCTTTCAGATCCTAGAATTGCGCTATGGACTTGTTCTGGATTATTTATGCATATAAACAATCCAATGATTTCTTTCTCTTTTGTTTTTTCACAGTACTTGAAACTGTTTGTATAGTGGATTGCTTTTATGCTTTTGTTAGAATTGTAAGTTTTTATGCCATATGTAATTGGTATTTGGCGGATTGTGTTAAAGAATTAGCTTGGTTTGTTTCATTAAATTATAAATTGTGGTATAAAACATACTATTGTAAGGAAATTTTGTGAGTGTAAGGATTTGAAACTTGATTTCACATACACAAACTTACAACTTGTAAATTGTATGGTGTTTGTAGGGTTGGTTGCCTTTTGACCCTGTTACTCTGATGATTGATTGAGTTTTGTTGGTTTAAAATCTTATTTTGAAAACCTACGTAAAGCTTATCCTTCCTGGTTCTTTTTTTTTTTTTTTCCTTCCCCTTCTGTTTGTGCTTCATTTCTGTTATCTACGAAAAGCTTATGGTATCTCTTTTAACAATTTATGAAAATAATGTAAATCTCATATGTTATTTGTGCCATAATACCTTGTTATATATTGAACCACCTAGTATAATTTAATAATCTTTGGAACTTCACTTAATTAAAATTCTATGTTTGAGCCTTTGAGGCGGTAATCTTTTATGTTTCAATCTGAAGAATTAATTGAATTTTTTAATATCAAATTACAGAGAAGGAAAATCTCTGCCTTTATGGATTTCCAAGTGAGCAGTGGGAAGTCAATTTACCTGCTGAAGAGGTGCCACCGGAGCTTCCAGAGCCTGCACTGGGTATTAACTTTGCCAGAGATGGCATGCAAGAGAAGGACTGGCTGTCTTTGGTTGCCGTCCATAGTGATTCATGGTTACTTGCTGTGGCCTTCTATTTTGGTGCTAGATTTGGATTTGATAAAGCTGATAGGTACCTTTTTTTCCCCTTTGCTTGGTCGAAGCTTGGTTGTCTTCGTAGCAGAATTTAGAAGTCTAAAATGGAATTGAAAAAGAATGTAGAAAATATGAAAATATCATTTTTATCAACATTGTAATTAAATGATTTGCTTTTCATATTAATATGTTTTAGCTCATTACTCTTTTTAACTCTCCCTTGATAATTTTATACCATGGACACTTTTATAAATATCTTGTAAGTAGGAACATCTGTGATCATCTTTTGGCATATTGAATGGGTAAAGAGGAATAGCGTGGTGAAATAGGTAACAAAGTGGAAAGTTATGGATGTAAAGGATAAATATTTTTTCATGTTTGACATACCGTAGTGTCTCTTTTAATTTTTTTACTATGTTCTAAATTTGTTTCCTATTCATTGATGATGGTAGATTTATTTAGGCTTTTATTAAGGAAGGCAACATTCACACTCCTTTTATTCATAAATTCAGTCCACTTTTAAAGTAAAATGACACTATTGTCCTAAGAGAAAGTCATAGAACTCTCTCTCTCTCTCACACACACACACACACACTTACACACACAATTTCTTGAATCACAAGTTGGCCATGTTTATCTATAATTTGGTGTGATTGTGTTTACTTCTTTAAGGTGAATGTGTATAGCCTTTGATTGTGAAAGCTAGGTAATTTTATATTTGGATCTTGATGACACCATGCTTGATTTTTGCTAGTCAGTCCTCTACTAATCCTAGGAGAAACAAAAATTGTTAAGTAATAGAATTATTAAGTATTAATTTGCTCTTATTTTTGTTGGCTACCAAATTCTCTATTTGGGGAAGGACATTAAAAGAATATTTTGTATCTCAAGTCGGGTGATAATATATGTATTTGTTTCTGTTAAAAAAAAAAAAAAAATAGATCTACTCCTGAAAAGTGATATTATGATATATATATATATATATATAATGCATATATATAAATACGCATGTATAAACATTGATTTTTATTGTAATTATAAATAATACAACAGGTTTTTCTAAAAATTTATTCAGTAATTGAATTATACTATCCACCATGTAACCAAGTTGGCTCAAAAAACATTCATTATTGAAGTTTTTAACTGTTGAAATATTAATTGTTAGAGGATCAACTGTCATCTGTATCTTATACATTTTTTTTCTTTAATGTCTGTAATGCTTCCTTGTAATTTTTAATTTTTAGCTCCCTCAACCTTATTTTCTCCTCATACTGTTCATTATTTTCCCTGTTACCTTGCATTACTGAGTTATAAAAAATATGCAGCATGCATTTTACTTGATGGAAAAATGCTTGTTATAAATTGTTATAACATTCTAGGCTTCCAACCTTGTAAGGTCTGAAATTGAGAACATAAGTTGGTTTGATTTTCTTTATGTCTGTTTATACATAGAGCATGACTCAGGCTGCACATGGAGTCTGCCAATTACACATGTTATTATGGTTGTGAACGTGGAAGTAGTCAAATCCATTCTATGCCATTGTATTTTTATGTCACACAGAGTTGATTTGGATGAGGATGCTGCATTGTGGCATGGGAGACTTGTTGATTTTTAGCTCTGTGTATATGTGGGGCAATTTCTTTTTAATGAATGTCTAAATTTCTTGCGATCCTTCTAATAGGATCCTACTCATGCTTGGACCGTGTTGTACAAATGACAAGAACAATGCCCTTCATCGGGGTAAAAGGCCAAAAAGGGAAAAAGGTGGACTGATCTTAAAGCTAAAATTGAGGCTTCACAAAATGGAGCACAAAAGTCTTGCATCTGGCTTTCTGAAGTTTTGCCTTCTTGATTTTTCCCATGGGTTGCTGCATTCTATTGTTTCATCCCTCCATTGACATCTAGGTGTTTTTGATGCAGGAAACGCCTCTTCAATATGATAAATGATCTCCCAACAGTATTCGAAGTTGTGGCAGGGACAGCCAAGAAGCAAGCAAAGACATCAGTTCCAAATCACAGCGAAAATAAATCTAAATCTAACTCCAAGGTAGAAAATCGATCTGTACTCTTCTACTTTCTTTAGTTCCATCACATAAATCGAAATCATACGTTGGCAGTGCTAATTTGTTGTTTATGTTGCTTAAATGGAGGAGCTGGTCTAATGTCTGTAATGACAGAAAGTGCCTTAAGAGTACTGTTCCAATATGTATTATAGCTAGTAGATTAGTGACTCGATTTTCACTGATGGCAAGGATGAATGTTCCAAGGGATTTTTAGGTGATTGGAAATCAGGGCACGTGGTAGGCATATATCTCCTTAAGTCATTTTCAAGAGAACCTTAATTTTCATTGTGGGGGGCAAATTTCTCCATTCCGAGGCCCCTCTTTCTGTTGTAGCTGCACTTTAGTTGTTCCATAAAAAAGCCACGAAAATTCTTAGAATATTTTTTTATAATAGTGTGTTTTCTTGAATACCTTGTCATTTATGTTCATTCTCTCATGTTTTGGTGGTGAAAGCAGCGAGGCTCTGAATCTCAGGGAAAGTATTCGAAAGTGTTGCAACCAAAAGACGATGATGAAGATTTGGAAGAGGAAGATGATGAGCATGGGGAGACACTTTGTGGGGCATGTGGAGAGAACTATGCATCTGACGAGTTCTGGATCTGCTGTGACATATGTGAGAAGTGGTTCCATGGCAAGTGTGTTAAGATCACCCCAGCAAGGGCTGAGCATATTAAGCAGTACAAATGTCCTTCATGCAGCAACAAGAGAGCACGCCCATGATAGTAGCTGGGAAGGTGTGGATTCCTACTACTATTCTCTCGGGGCGGATTCTATTAATTGTCCAACTAGTCAGGTTCCCAGTCTTAGCAGCTAAGATTATGTTCCCTTGAGCTTTGAAAATATTTGATATTACGTCTAGATAGCAAACACGTTTTTTTATGTAGATCGCAGACATGCATTTTGTTACCTTGGGTTGCTGTCATGCTGTTTATTAATTTTAAATAGAATATATATGCTCTAACCATTTTCCCTGTCGTGGCGGAAGGACTCATTTTGTGCCTGCTCAATTTTAGCTATATCTGTTGCACGTCTTGATTGAGTAGATGCGTTATCTGTACACGAGATGACTTGATGTGTACTTGAAACCTGTTGAGTAAGCAATCAAATGGGGAGGTGGTATACTTGATGCGCCTATGAACTAATTGATGATATATTAATTGTGAATCAATGAAGGAAAGAAAATTGGAAATTCCTGTTAATATGTTCTGGTGTTCCGTTGCTTTTTGGTAGCGACATGTTATTGATAAGATAATGGGGTTCGTCTTTTGAGCCATTCCTGATCTCTGAGTGTGTCCTTCAGCTAAAGTTTTCCTTGCTCATAAGTTTTGTGAATATTTCAGTAGTTAAAAGAGTTTTCGTTTTCAGTTATCACATTTGACTCTCTCTCTCTCTCTCTCTGTTCTCTTATATTTGTCCAGCTTTCATGCTCTTGTTGGGGTTCTTGTTATCATGGACAAATAATGCTTGGTGTTTTTCTTCATCTATGTGTAATTGAAAAACACAGTACTTGATAACTTTATTCCCTAATAAAGCTTAAGACTCTCACGTTGATTAATTATGGAAGTGTTCGACTGTTGGAGGATTGAAAGCTTCCTATAGTTTTATGTGAAACATTAATCTGTACTGATGGTATGATTTAAGGAATCTTTTGGGTTGATGGTATATTTTATAAAGTGATTGCTCTTGTATTCGCACTGCAATAAGAGAAGAAAAGTATATATATGAAGCATGCACTGCAAAGTCGTTGATTTATCAAAAACGTGATAATAATAAAGAAGATAAATTCCGTTCACAAAACTCCTGTCATTGTAACGTGTGTGTAGAGATGGTTTGGCAAGAGTATTGTAGAGGAGTAGAAAAGTATGCGTTGGTAAAGAACACACAACGTCTAATGGCAATTGGGAAGGCCCACATGTCTACCACTCATAAGCCCCAAAATCTTATCCTCACAATTATTGGTTGTCATTAAGACTTCTGGTCCCAAAAGTCCAAAGTTTCATAGCCCCTGGGATTGTAACCCAGCGGAGATTTATCTATACAAACAAATCCTAATTTAAAGAGATTACAAATTTGAATTAGGATAGGCTGCTCCTAAGAATGGACAAAGTGAGACTGGGGCCCACGGTTTCTGCTTAGTTGGTGGTCCATTGTAGCGGCCCACGGGATATAATTGAATTGGTTTGGTGGTCCATAGACCATGTTATTGTATGATTTTTTTTTTTTTTTTTTTTTTGATTGATACTCACAAGCTTCCCTCTTATGAAACTTGAACTTTTGATCTTCTTTTGGAATAATTTTTTATATTTAAAATTTAAAGATTTTTGGACCAAAAAAATCAATAATTTTTTTATAATATTGATTGATTATTGATTGATCGTTGATGACAGTTAAATTTTATAATTTTTTTGGTCCAAAAACTTTATAATTTTTTTTTTTTGATTGATACTTACACGCTCGTCTCTTATGAAGTTGGAATAATTTTTTCGGTCCGAAAATCGGGCACATCCAATTTTACGTCATCCACATAAATGTAATGTGATGTGAAAAGAAGCCGAAGCCGAAGCCAAATTCAAATTTGATAACATCCATTTTGCATTTAGTTAAAGGAGCTAGTTTAATGACAAGGGAAGGACTACATTTGTCTAATATTAGGCGATAGAGTGCTTTAAAAGTCCACTACCTCCATGTTAACCAAATTAAAATTTTATTTTGCATTAATAATTATAGGAAAAATGATTAACATTTCCAAAATTTTAACCCAACAACTCTCAATCAACTAGATGGTGAAAGTAAGACCTATGTTTGAATTCTACATGCACTATCTAATGAATGGGCAGCCTTTCTGCACACGGCTCCTCCATTAAGTTGAATTTTTTGGTTTTTATATCCCTGCTCATAATTTAAAATATTCTTAAATCCATATATTAGCGAGGATCATATACTTTAGGTGATCACTCATCTTTTTTTTTAGTTGTTTACTCCCCAGATATTGTTGTTTAACTAAATGGGCCATTTGGCACTGAGATGCTTTGATTAAACTTGTCAACTGAAAATATATATATATATATATCATGGGTTTTTAGAAAAAATTGTCCATAGCTTGGTAAGCGGGTGGGTTTGTTTATTTTACGTAACTTCCAAATACGAACCGAGTCTGTTACCACTTGCAATATATAAAGTGAAACTCATAAAACTGGCTGAGATGTTCATGAACAGCAAAACCTTAAACCTTAAACATTAAACATGACTCAAAACCACAACCACAGTTTATACATTAGGAAGTATTCAAATATAAAACTTGTTAAATACTTTTTGGCCAAAATTCATTTTTGGACAACCCTAATTATATTCAGTACCATCAAAGTCAATTCTCCACATACAAACGATTCTTAAGTGGATTTCTTTCTAATATTATAGATGAGACATAAAAGACATTATTATTAGAGACTTGAAACAAAAGGAAACATGCTACATATTTATACAAAAATATACATTAGTATGCCCATGAGAGTGGCAAGTTACACCAACGGTAGATAGGTTAAGAAAATTGAAAAGGGTGACAAGAAACAAAACATTTCTTCCTTCCTTTTGCTTCTCCTCCTCTGCCCAATGCTCATGCTCATCAAGTGAAGCTCTCTTGATTCTTAGTAGATAGCCGTTTGAGAAACTCGTAGGTGGTGATCATGGTGGTTGCAGACATGGACATTGAAGCCCACCTTGGACCCAAGCCTCGGTAACAAGCACCCAATCCACCTTCCTTCACCAAATTCCTCACGGTTTGAACAATCGTTGGCGGCCTACGCCCACTCCCTTCTACATCCAGAACTTGCAATCTAGTCTTGACTGTATCTAGTGGCATTGTAACCAACGCAGAAAACCCACTTGCCATGGCGGCGCTCAACCCCTGCACCGCCAGCACCACCTTCGCATCCGGCCTAAAACCACCACTCCCTCCACCAACACTCTCATCTTTCCTACAACAATGGTAACCAACCCCACCCCAAATGAATCTATGGGCCATTGAATAAGATGCCCACCACACTGCATTTGAAGGGGCATATGTCAATATGGATATCCCAAATCCCCTGTATAGCCCTCTCAATCCATCTGTATAGATAATCTTTTGAAACGCATCGATTCCACCATTGTATCTATAGGTGCTAACAGAGGAAGTGATGGAATTGGGGCCACCTTGAACCATAAGCCTCTGGCTCACTACATCAATGGGTGTCCACACCAACTGTGCTGCCATGGCAGCACTTAAACCCGCGGCAGCATTCGCCACAGTGGCTGCAGTTGCCTCTGAAAACCCTAGTTTCACAGAGGCAGTTCCGACATTGCTCTTCGTAACCTCGAGCGCCGCCATGTAAAGAGCTCGAGCTGGGATTGTACCCATCAGTGAAGTCCCAAATCCCTTGTAAAACCCTCTCAACCCTTCGTACCGGAGTATCGAAAAGGCGGCATTGAAGCACGAAATTCTGCTCAGCGCCACCTGTTGCCGCGTCTTCAGAACCACGATCGGGTACAGAGTGGCCGAGACGCCGGAAAACAGGGCTGCGCCGAGGAAGAAGAACTTGGATTTGTCGAGCATCTCCCAATCAATCTCGGCCGGAAGATGAATTTCCGACGCCGAATCATCCTCCGCTGCCCTCAAACTCATCTTTGCCACTTTTCAAATTCTCTAACTTTTAATTCCTAAACTAGAAATAGTATTCGAAAGTCCTTAACATCTAAAACCCTAACTATACAAAATCAAGAAAACAGACAACAAACCCTAATTCTAAAATTCCAAGATCATACAACAGTTCTATCTTTATGGAGTATATATGTATATGTATGTGTGGATTTGGTTTAATTATTTTTTTCTTTTGCGCAAACAGATTTGAGATCGAAAGTGGGTTACCATAAACAGATCGAACATTTCTTGGATTGAGCTAAGATTCTTACCGAAATCATGGTCTTCAGAACATCGTTTGGAGAATTGGATCTGAGTTTTAGAGAGAGAGAGTGTAGAGAGAGAGAAATGATAACGGCGGCGGATGGATATAGGGGTTCTTCGATGAGCTGAGTGGTGAGAGCGAGCTTTAACTGAAAGCCCCAGAGAGAGAGAGAGAGAGAGAGAGAGAGAGAGGGGACAGAGTAATGGATTTTTGCGAGGGTTGTGCGGATCGAGGGAACTGGACACGTGTCGGTTCATGTTTTGGGAAACTTTTTGATTTGGCAGGTTAAAAGGCTGGCTGCTGACTGTGTACCACAGGATTTTGGGATTACTGTGGGTGATGATTATTCAGGACTCGGACCAATGGGCTCATCTGTATCTTTTTATGGGCACCCATATGTTCATGCTCCATTTTTATTTTTTTATTCTTTGTCTCTAATTTTTTTTTTATTATTATTAATTTTTTTTCCGAACAATGTCATATTGTGATGCATGAGTGTTACTCGTTAAAACATTATACAATGACACCCCAAACACAATGAAAGTACATGTTTACCCTTTAACCAAGTTAAATGACCAAATTACCCTCATTCAATAAATTCTTTATTCTTCTAATTTTTTTTTTTATCTTCCCATTCATTCCCTGTGAGCCTTTCTTCCTTGCCGCCACAGTCCCACAGCCGAGCCCATCACCGTTCCGTCGTTGTTTTCATCTGAGCCATCCATGGCCGGAGTCCATTTCTCCACTGTCTGCTTACTGCCATCGCAACTCTCTCTCTTGGGCTATGGCTCTAGCGACGACCGTCAATCATTAAAGTGAAGTTAGAGAGAGGAGGTAAACATGGCAAACATCTGCAACTCTCTGGGTTTTGGCTCTGACGATGACCAATCGATGAGATTGAACTCTAGCGACAGTGGTGACCTAGCGATGTGATTAGGCTCCAGCAACTAGCACCAGCAATGGCATGGCAATGACGCAATTCCGACGTTGAAGAGGCGACGAGGTCCGGCGACTAGCAGTGGTGATTGCACGACGGTGACACGATTCTGATGTCGATGAAAGGGCAACGGTATGTATTTGGTGTGACCTATCGATTCGGATTGATTAGGTAACAACATATTGTTTCTTCTTGTGGCAATCCGAATCGATGAGCATAGCGCTTGTGGCTTGTTCAACCATTTAATCAACCATATTTGCTCCAAATTTAACCTAAAAACTATCGAAAACTGATGACATCTAAAATTTTCATTAAGATCACAACGAACTTCGGCTGACACTCCAAATTCAAGTGAGTTCAAATGAAATCAAGAAATTAGAATCTGACAGTTATATACTATATATATATATATATATATATACACATGTTAGAATCTCTCTCTGCTCTACATTCTCTCTCTAACTTATTTCTCCTCACCCCCTCTCTTTCTGTGTTAGTTAGCCCGAAGAAAAGTGTTGATTCCCCACAGCCGAGGTTGTTTTCATCATGGCCGAGCCCTCACCAGCTGCAGCGAGTCCTCCACGGTTGGATAGTCACCCATCACATGAATCTAAAACCCAACGCCACGATCATTCGATGACGGCGGACAACTCAGCCGGTGGAGGGCTCGGCCGTGAGAGGAATTGCGGCATGGAATCAGCGGCCAAGAATCGAGATTAGGGATTTGAGAGATACTGTGTATGAGATAGAGAGTAAATTGGGTTTGATTTACGGATTCGGGATTTGAGGGTGTGGAAGAAGAGGAGGGCGATGTAGCAGTTTGTGTGTGTGAGACAAAGAGATGAGATGAGAACTATTGAGAGAGAGAGATGAGATGAGGGGTAGTTTGGTCATTTTAAGTAAGGATTAAAATATATCTTAGGGCATATTAGACATTTCATGTCACTTTAGGCTGTGTTTGGCTCCATTTTTTTTTAAAATGGGGTGTCATTATTCAAGTTTGTAAACCTAGGGGGTGTTTCTGTCCAAAAAACGGCTAAGTTGTATATGGTTGTTAATATGGCAAACCTTAGGAGGTGTCTCTGTAATTAACCCATTTATTTTTGTGGGGTAAAAAAAATTACTCATTATAACATTGGCGTAGTACAATAGTGGATTACAAACATTTTATTAAAGTAAAGTGGACCTATAAGTGTTGATAAATTTATTTTTGTGGAGTGCTTGTAAGTGTCCGTTATACCATGTTCAACTGCTATAACGAATAATTTCTCCCAAAAAAGGAAAGAAAAAAAAATAGAGTCTTTTTAAAAAATTTAGAATCCTAATTTTATCGATTTTAAAATATTTCTTTCTTGTAAAATAGATCCTATTTATTTTCAATTTTAATTGTTGATGTGGAAATCCTTACGACTCGGAACGACGACGTTTACCTGCAAAACAAAGGGACGTCACCTCGAATGGTACCGGTGGGGTGCCGGCCGAGGACCCTCCGACGATCAAGTTAGTACTTGTAATCGTATTACATAATAATTATGTATACTTTGTTTAGGGATTTTTTTCTCGTACCTTCTTTAACGGCTTGGTGCCCTATTTATGGCTGTCGATTGGAATCCAATTGGTTCCGCCGGTATCGATGGTTGATCTTATCTTCCGTTTGTGCGAGATCATAGGAGATTTGTTGCCAGATTTATCGGGGATATGAATAATCATTTTAACCTCTTCCAATTATGATAGGATTATTCTTACTCTGTTGAACCATGTCAGATTTCATTATCAAGCTAATCAATCTTATCGAGGGTAGGGTAGGTTTATATTTTTCCCTATCAGTTGCCCCCCATTCCCAAGCTTGCATGTCTAGCTTTGGGAATGTAAATTTTTTTTTTTTTTCAACCCCTGTGAACAGTACTGCAGGGTATTATTCCCGCGGGTTCTATTCATGTGAATAGTAACTCGGGAATTTTTTTTTTTTTTCCTGCCCTGGAACAGTACCCCGCGGGTACTATTTTTAGTACATTTGGGTATTCTGCCCCAGGGTACTATTTTTGATACCTTTAGGTACTCTGCCCCTGGGTATTCTTTTTGGTACCCTTGGGTACTCTTCCCTTGGTAAGGGAATAAATTGGACGAGCTTCACTCAGGTCGTCACCCCTTTAATAAGGGAATTAAATTTTACGAGCTTTACTCAGCTCGTCCCCTTTAGTAAGGAATTTTTATTTATTATCCCTTATAGTACGGGGATATTAATTACAGGATTCATTCAGCCCCGGTCCTTGTAGTACAGGACATTTATTTACTATCCCTTATAGTACGGGAATATTGATTGCGGGATTCATTCAACCCGAGTTCTTTTAGTACATGATATTTCTTTATTATCCCTTATAGTACGGGGATATTGATTACGGGTTTCATTCAGCCTGTCCCTTTAGCAAGGGAATAAATTTTACGAGCTTCACTCAGCTCGTCCCTTTAGTAAGGGAATTAATTACCACATAAGTATAACACGTGAGGGGGAGGATCGTTTTTTGACCTGACCTTTGTAGGTTAAGTCCTGATCTCTGATGATCATACTTTTGTCAGTTAGGCCCTAGTCTTGGTCTCTGATGACCAAACTTGGGGTAACCGGGCACTGATCTTGGATGACCGAGCCTTTGTAGACTTTGGGCAATCAATTCTTAGTCTTGGTTGACTAGGCCTTGGTTTTGGATAACCAAGTCTTGATTTATAATAACCAAGGGTTGTACCCTTCCCGTCGTGTAAAGACTAGAAACCCGACTAGCTCGATGTACCAAGGTACGATCAATCTTCTAAACCTTGTCATCATATGTAGATCGGCGATTGATATCGTATGATCCACTATTCTGCCCCTGATGTTGGGATCTTGGGTGATGACCCATTCTATAGACGTTTATGCAACGGACAGGGTGTCTGGTGCTGCAACAATTTATAGTTGTCTAAAAATATTGGATTAGGTTAGAAGTAATTACTAAAAATTAACCTGTAATGGATTATCAATCCAAAATTCTGCATAATCTGAAGTCGATAGGCCATTCCTGCAAGGGAAGAGAGGTGACGACTGTCGTCTGGTAGGTGGAGGCTTAGTGTCCAGCGACTGGCTTGATGCCTGGTGGGTAGAGGCGTGGTACCCAACGGCTGACAGATGACGGTCTGGTGGTCAGTACTTCGTTGGGTCCAATGATCGCCCTTAACTTAGGAACCAGCTTGGGAATACAGACCTCATTGGACATGGGATCTTGAGGGACATTGGACCTCCTTGGACCTGAAGGTCTTGATACATTCTTGGGTGTAGAAGGCCACCCTGATTGTATGAATGGACGGAGTAATGAAACTCCGTTGCTAGAGACATCCTCAGTAGTAGAAGCTTTACTAGTAGGTATAGACCCCCTTATTGGTGGTGATCTTCTTGATGGGTGGAGACCTACCCATTTATGTAGGTGCAGAAGGACCAGGTCTTAGTCTTCAATGATTAGGCTGTAACGATCCCAAAACTAATGCCAAGATTTTTTTTTTTTTTTTTTTTTTTTTTTTTTTTTTTTTAAATTCGGCATAATCTCCCCTAAAAATGGACCTATCGCAATTTGTTTAAATTCATTTTTAATCTATCATGGCTCAAATTCCGAATTCATGGCAATAGAAGATGATGATACACAATCAAATGACCTCAATAATACTTCAAACTAGTATTACTCTCCCCATTCATCAATAAGGTTTACATGTTATCAAATTCACATCCAAAATATCATCAAATACCTTAATTACATTACATGACAAAGTTTTTGCAAAATATACATATACACCTTCACACTTTTAGTGCTTTGCAAAAATAATGGGAGATATACAAAAGACACAAAAGTGAGCTTCTAGTATCGCTCAAGCTTGAGGTGGGTTGTCGTTCACCGGTTCTTTTCCAAGACCTGAAAAAAATGTATAAATAGTAGGGTGAGCTATATGCTCAGTAGGTGACACTTAAGACACAAATCTTGTGTCCTTGTGAATTCAAGCAAAGCATAGGCCAATGGGAGATAGGGATCATACAACGTAGGGGATCAAATACAACATACAATTCAATTCCAATTATAAACAATGCAATGCAATGCAATGAAATGCAATGCATGTCAATGACACTCCCCATTTTCATTCTCAAAATCATCACTTTCAAACGTTAATACAGCCCGCCCTTTGGTAATCCCGCCGTGACACGAGAGGAGGATTGGCTAGTGTCCCTGACCCTTGGTAACCCCGCGGCGTCATTATGGGGCCCAGCTAACTCAACCACACTAGGGCGACTCCCTAATCCCCTCTAGGCTATATTAACCTCCGGCCCGTTGGTAACCCCGCAACGACCGGGTTTATCAAAACCATTTCACAAAAACTATCATTTCCCAAAAATTCCTCATTTTCATTTCAAGACAAATTCTCCCATTTCATGCATCCCAATGACATGTCCATGAATGTACATATAATCTCAATATCATGACAATGTGAAATTTTGACACAATACAATTAAGCATGGTCTCATACATCACTTTCAGCAAGTTTACACATAGTAGACATAAACTCAACACATAGGCAAGCTTTTCACATAATACATCACATGTGCATAAACATACATTTCTCTAGACAACATTAAAATAATCATTAACACAATTAATCCCCAAGTAAAGCATGTTAGCACATAAAAGAGGTGTAATTCACAAAAAACACCACAAAGCCATCATCTATACATGCTTTTTACATAGACAAGTCATAACCCTAAGACATGAATTTTTTCTAAACATCACTTACACCTCATTGAAGCAATTAATTCTCAATTTTAGCATGTCTAGCACAACAAAAGAGCATAACTCACAATGGAACAAGAAGAGAGTGGATTAAGATGCCCCTACCTCAAGATTGCACCAAAACCCTAGAAATAGGTCTAAATTTTCGAGTTCCAAAGAAGGCTCAAAACTGGAAATTGCTTGCATCAACGCGTAAAGCTCGTCACACTCGTCGTTTTGCCTCAAACGACACCTAAATCCGGCAAGGGTTGAGAGAGTAATCAAGGGTTAAAGCTTGAAGTGAAAAAAAAGAAAAAAGGAAAAAGAGAAGGAGCCGAGAGCAGCACTCGGGAGAAAGAGAGAGGAAAAGAACAGAGACTAACTTGGTCTCTTAATTCATTTAAAAGGGACGTGGGTCCCACCTCTCTTTTTCTAATTTTTTTTTTTTTTTTTTTCTTTTCTTTTAATACACACCGCACACACAGGCATATATATATATATAAAGGCATAAAATTACACTCTCCCCTACTTTAAAAGATTTCGTCCCCGAAATCAAGACATACCTGAGGAAGAAAACAACTCTGGATACTTTGAGCGAACCTCCTGTTCAAGCTCCCAAGTAGCTTCCTCGACTCCGTGGTGTCTCCAAAGGACTTTCACCATTGGTATTGTCTTATTCCTCAACACCTTCTGTTGTGTGTCAAGAATCTGAACTGGTCCTTCCTCATTGGAAACATCCTCATTAATGTCCACATCTACCCAACTCAAAATGTGAGATGGATCCGGTTCGTACTTCCGTAACATCGATACATGGAAAACATTGTGGACCCTATCCAACTGTGGTGGCAAAGCAAGCCTGTAGGCAACCTCTCCTACTCGGTCCAAAATCTCAAACGGTCCAATAAATCGTGGCGACAACTTGCTACTTTTTCCGAATCTCATCAATCCCTTCCGTGGAGAAACCCGTAGAAAAACATGGTCTCCCACCTCAAAGGATAACGGTCGTCTCCGCTTATCCGCATAGCTCTTCTGTCGGCTCTGAGCTGTAAGTAACCTCTGTCTTATCAACTTAATCTTCTCAGTAGTCTCGAGTACAATGTCGGGTCCTAAGGCGGCTGTCGCACCTACCTCAGTCCAACAAACAAGAGACCTACAAGGTCTACCATACAACGCCTTAAATGGAGCCATCTGGATACTCGCTTGATAACTGTTGTTGTAGGCAAACTCAATAAGTGGAAGGTGATCCTCCCAACTACCACCCAAGTCAAGCACACATGCCCGAAGCATATCCTCCAAAATCTGGATAGTACGCTCCGACTGACCGTTCGTCTGTGGATGGAATGCCGTACTAAGATGCAACGCTGAACCAAACGCTACTTGAAGTCCTTCCCAGAACTTCGAAGTGAACTTAACATCCCTATCTGACACAATGGTTACAGGAACTCCATGCAACCTTACAATCTCCTTTACATAAAGAACACCAAGCTTCTCTGCATCATCTGTTGTCTTAATAGGCAAAAAGTGAGCCGTCTTGGTCAATCTGTCAATGATGACCCATACGGCTTCATTGCCCCTTCTTGACCTTGGAAAACCTGTCACAAAATCCATAGCGATATGCTCCCATTTCCATTGCGCTACAGGTAATGGTTGCAGCAAACCTGCTGGCCTCTGATGCTCGGCCTTCACCTGCTGACAGGTAAGGCATCCAGCCACAAACTGTGCAACATCATTCTTCATCCCGCTCCACCAATACTGACGTCTCAAATTGTGATACATTTTAGTACCACCTGGATGAACTGCAAAGCGGGAAGTGTGAAACTCCCGTAGGACGTCCTCACGACAACATGTGGGAACCACCAACAAACCCCTGAACCGTAGACCCCCATCTGCATGCAAGGCCCAATCTTTCACTGTCTCACCACTAGAGATCAAAGCGTGGATGGCATCTAAGTCCGGGTCCTGTCTCTGTGACTCAATCACTCGTACAACAAGAGTAGGCTGAGCCACAAGACTAAATAAGAATGCCGACTCACTTCAAGCATCATCATCACAACACTGTAATCCCATCTCTGCCAGATCTTCAAGCATCTTCCACTTCCGAATAGCTAAACTGGCCAAAGTTCCACGAGATTTCTGGCTTAAGGCATCTGCTACCACATTTGCCTTGCCCGGATGATACTGCAAGTCAAAATTGTAGTCCTCCAAGAATTCGACCCATCGCCTTTGTCTGTTGTTCAAGTCCTTTTGGGAGAAAAGGTACTTGAGACTTTTGTGATCTGAAAATACCTTGAATCTCTCACCATACAAATAGTGTCTCCAACACTTCAAGGCAAACACAACTGCCGCTAATTCCAGATCATGAGTAGGGTAGTTAAGCTCGTGAGTCTTCAACTGTCGAGACCCATAAGCCACTACTCTACCATCTTGCATCAACACACATCCCAACCCGTCACGTGAAGCATCACAATCGATCACATAACCCAAGCCACGCTCAGGTATCACCAACACTGGAGCTGTAGTCAATCTTGTCTTCAACTCCTGAAAAGATGAATCACAGGCCTCATTCCAGACAAACTTGACCCTTTTCCGGGTCAAACGGGTCATAGGAGCTGCCAAATGGGAGAAATCCTTCACAAATCTCCGATAGTAACCCACTAAACCAAGGAAACTGCGGATCTCAAACACATTCTTGGGTCGCTCCCAAGTCAAAACTGCTTCAACCTTTGATGGATCAACTGATACCCCACCTTCTGAAACAACATTCCCCAAAAATTTCACCTCCTATAGCCAAAACTCACACTTCTCGTATTTGGCATAAATCGGTGCTCCCGCAAAATCTGTAAAACAATACTCAAATGGACCTCGTGATCTTCCCGAGTCCGTGAGTACATAAGAATGTCATACACGAAAACTACCACAAACTGGTCCAAGTAATTGTGAAAGACGCGGTTCATCAAGTCCATGAATGCCGCTGGCGCATTAGTCAAGCCAAAAGGTATAACAAGGAACTCATAGTGTCCATACCGTGTACGGAATGCTGTCTTCGGGATATCCTCATCCCTAACCCGCAACTGATAATAGCCAGACCTCAAGTCAATCTTCGAGAAACAACTGGCTCCCCTTAACTGATCAAATAAATCATCTATCCTTGGTAAAGGATACTTGTTCTTGATGGTGGCATGATTCAACTTCCTGTAATCAATGCACAACCTCAAAGAACCATCTTTCTTCTTAGCAAACAAGACCGGTGCGCCCCACGGTGACACATTTGGTCGGATGAAACTTTTCATCCTCAAATCATCAAGCTGTCTCTTCAATTTTTCCAATTCAACTGGTGCCATACGATACGGTGCCACAGAAATCGGCGCAGTACCATGCATCAAATCAACAGTGAACTCCACTTCTCGGTGTGGAGGCAACTTTGTCAAATCTTCTGGAAAAACATCCAAGAAGTCACAAACAATCGCCGGATAAACTTCTCCCACGACATCATCTTCTTCGGCTAGAAGACTAGCTAAGAAATAATCACAATGACTTCGTCCATGAACTCCATAAAACGATGAAATGTGGGAATCACTCCAATCTCCCACGAAAAAGAACAGTCTCCCTCGGGAGTGCAAATTGTAACCCTTCCTCTGTAACAGTCGATCGTGGCATGAAATGAAGCCAGCTAATCCATCCCGAGAATGACATCAAAGCTAGTCATCTCCCGGAGGATAAGGTCAAACACAAAGGTCCGCCCGGCTATCACAATGGAGCAATCCTGCACAACTCGGCTCAATGACATTGAAACCCCAACTGACGTATCAACACATAACGCCCGATGCATGAAACTAACCTCTAACCCCGATGCAAGTGCAAATGATGATGAAATGAAAGAATGAGATGCACCAGAGTCAAACAAAACACGGGCCCAACAACCAAACACTGGAAATATACCTCAAAGAACTGACGGTCCAGAAGATGCATCGGTCTGTGCCAGTGCAAAAACACGTCCCTGTGGTACCTGTGCCTGAGGACTGCCAACCTGAACACCTGACTGCTGCACTGACATAGTAGGAATATCCCTCCTAACCGATCGTGAACCCTGTGAAGACATAGTAGGCTGTGGTGGTGGTGGTCTGAAACCTGACTGAACTGTAGCCAATTGTGACGGCCTCTGCTGTGACCCTCTGCCACTAATGGTGCCTGCTCTCTGACTCGGACAATCACGAATCAAGTGACCCTGCTGGCCACACCCATAACAAGCCTTCGGAGCTGACGAAACTGAAGACGATCTCATTGGACAACTGGACTTGTAATGTCCGAGCTGCTGACACTGATAACAAACAACTGCACTCCTGTCAGGTCCAGCTGGCATAGGAGTGGTAGGAGCAGATCTTGTAGACTGTTGCCCCTGAAACTGAGATGGACTACCCCTGTTCCTTTTCCAAGAAGATCCCTCTGAGGATGGCCTTGCACCCCTCTTTTGCTTCAATTGCTCTCTTCTTGCATCATTCTCTCTATTGTCAGCCTCCAGCATCAAAGCCCTTTCCACTGCTTCAGAGTAAACCTTAATAAACTGTGCCGTGATCAACGGCCTCATTCAATCATTAAGACCCGAGACAAACTCCCGAAGTCTTGTTAGCTTCATCTTTCACCACTTCTGGAGCAAAACGGGAGAGTGAGGTGAACTTGTTTTCATACTCCGCCACTGACATGTTCCCTTGAATAAGATTATGAAATTGGTCTTGTAACTCCCATCTTTTGGAAAGTGGAAAGTACTTTTCATAGAACAGTTCCTTGAACCTGTCCCAGTTCATCTCTTCAATCTTGTACTAGTTGGTGACTGACTTCCACCAAACCTTAGCATCCTTGGCAAACTTATACGTAGCTAGGATGATCTTTAGATGATCCTTTGTCACATCCATTGAAGTTAGTTGGGTTTCAACTTGATCCAAGTAGTCATCTGCTACCATTGGATCCGCACTGCCCTCAAACATAACCGGCATCAGCTGAGAAAACCCCTTTATGATCTTGAGACGCTTTTGAGCTGGCGTCTCCTCAATTTGAACTGTAGGTTGTGGTGCCGACTGCGACTGAGCAGCGTTGCCCTCACGACATTCTGCAACAAACGATTAAACTCCAGTACCACAGAACCTTCACCC